GCCACCCAGGCACCCCATAGACTAACTGCTTTTTAAAAAATCTATTACTCTTAAATCAGGTAGAAAACAAAGAGTAGAGTTATATTTTTCTCTAAAAAAATTTTTTAAGTGCTTATTTATTTTTGAGAGAGAGAGAGAGAGTGTGCAGGGGAGGAAAAGAGAGAGAGGGAGACACAGAATCTGAAGCACATTGCAGGTTCTGAGCTGTCAGCACAGAGCTGGGTGTGGGGCTTGAACCACAAACCTTGAGATCATGACCTAAGCCAAAGTCAGACACTTAACCTACTAAGCCACCCAGGTGCCCCTTGTTTTCTACATAATGTAGGAGCCTGATGCATTTTGAATAATTGTTTGTTTACGCTTTTGGACATAATGTATAAAGGTATAATTTTGTGACATCAACAACCGAAAGGAGTGGGGACAGAACTATAAAGGATCAGAGTTTTTGTATGTTACTGTAGTTAAACTGGTATAAACCCAAATTAGTGTTACAACTTTAGGATGTTACATGTAATCCCTATGGTAATCTCTCTCTCTCTCTCTCTCTCTCTCTCTCTCTCTCTCTCTCACACACACACGCACACACACACACACAGAATATACACAAAAGGAAATGAGAAAGGAACTTAAATGTTTCATTTAAAAAAATCAGCTAAACATAAAGACAGTAATGCAAGAAATGAAGGACAAAAAAGTTGTGAAGTATATAGAAAACAAATAGTAAAATGACAGAAGCAAGTCCCTCCTTATCTGCTAGCCTTAAAAGAGAAGGAGATTCTGGCATACCCTACAACATGGATGAGTCTTGGGGACTTTGTGTTGGGTGAAATAGGCCAGTCACAGGGGGACTGATACCTCTGATACCTATATGAGGTACTTAGGGTGGTGGTAGTCAAGGTCACAGAGACAGAAGTGGAGTGGTTGTTGCCAGTGGCTGGAGGAGGGGGAAGAGGGCATGGGGGGAGATTAGTTTAATAGGTACAGAGTTTCCAATTTTCAAGATGAAAAGCAATTCTGGAGAAGGATGGGTGGTGATACATCATTCAGTACACTGAATACCACTGAAATGTATACTTAAAAATGGTTAAGATGGTAAATGTCATATGCATATTTTGCCACAATTAAACAATAGTTTAAGTGGAATCAATGCAAAGGTCCATCAACTGGTGAGCAGACAAAACAAAATATGGTATATATCCATACTACTGACTCATTGATAAAAATAAACACAATACTGATCTGTGATACAATTTGGATGAATCTGAAAGACATTATGCTAAGGGAAAGAAGTGCGATGCAAAAGAACATATGATGTGTGATTCCCTATACAGGAAATGCCCAGAACAGGCAAATCTAAAGAGACAGCGAGTAGATTATTGATTGTCAGAAATAGGAAGTTGGTACTGCCTGCAAATAGGCATGGGAGATTTTGTGGTTTGATGGAAATGTGCTGAAACCTGATTGAAGTGATGCTTGCACAACTCTGTAAAATTACTATAAATCACAGAATTGTATGCTTAATGGAGCGAGATATATGGTATGCAAATTATACCACAATAAAGCTGTTGAAAAACTCAAAGAATCTACAGTTTTTGTACTGAGCAAGGTTCCTGGTTAAAAAAAAATCAGTTATAAAAAGCATTTCTATTTCTGTATGCAAGCAAAGATCACAAAATAAAATCAGGGAAATACTATTTATATCATAAAATATCAATTACTAAAATATATCAACTAAATCTAACAAAGATGTGTAAGACTTCTATAAAGAAATTAATACACTTTACTGAGGGTAGTAAAAAAGATGTAAACAAATGGAGAGATGCATGTCCAAAAGACTGGAATCTTTAAAACTTTAAATTATTTTAACTTGCTCCAAATTTACTTATAGACTCAATGTACTCCCAATCAAAATCTCATCACATTTCTTTATGGAATTTAAGAACACGATTTTAACATGAATAGGAAATGTCCATGGCCAAGAACAGACAAGAATTTTGAAAAATAGAACAAGAGGAGTGGTTCTATCAGATATCAAGTCACTTTTCTAATTTTGTATTTGTTTTCAAAAGTGTCTCCTAAAGCTATAATAAACAGCAATATGGTATCGACACAGGATTGGCAGACAAACAAATGAAACATAAGAAAGCTCAGAAACAGACACACACATACGAACACAAATTATGACAAAGGGGACTCTGCAAAATATTGAGGAAATGACAATTTTGTCATGAAAGGTTATAGGGATGAATGGCTACCACATGGAAAAAATGGACTTCTATCTTACCCTATACACAAAATCAATTTTAGAGTGAATAAAGACTTATCTGTGGAAGGTAAAACTATAAAACTTTTGGTAGTTAAGCTAAAAGAGAATCTTTAGAGGTCAGGATAGAAAGGGAGTTTTTAAAATAAGACACACAGTCATCATAAAACCAGAGATAAATATGACTCCATCAAAGTTAATAATTTCTGTTTATCAAAATGTGTCAGGAGATGGGGAAGAGAAAAATAGAAAGAAGGAAATGATAAGCCACAGAATAGGAGAAGATATTTTTGTTTTTGTTTTTTGGAGAAGATATTTGCAACATTTGAGAAAAAGTAAACAATAGAGAAATGGTTAAAAGGCTTGAAGAGACACTTCACAGAATAAAAGTTCACAAGGCCAATAAACGTAGATGTTCAACTTCAATAGAATTATGAGCTGCAAGTTAAAACTATAATGAGAAACCAATAATCATTACAGTCACACAATTTAACATATCTGACTTCACTAAGTGAAGCTGAGGACTATCAGAAATTCTTACACTACTTGCAAAAATGTAAATAGTTACAATTATTTTGAGAAACAGTGAGGCCTTTTCTACTACGTTGAAAATATGCATCCCTTATGACTCAACAATTCCATTTTTAGGAATATGCTAGAAAGAGGGATGTCTAGGTATATCAGGATATTATAGAGTAATAATAAATTCATTATCCATTGTACTGCTAATGGGCATTTGCATTTCCATTTGGAGACAATTATGAAAAATGCTACTATAAGCATTCTTGTAGCAGCTATGTATACGATCTTAAAAGCTATGATTTATTTTTGCCTGGTTTCTTTCCTTCACCCCACACCCCAAATGGGCCAAACTGAAAGCTTTAGGAGAGATTAGTAATTCAGCAATGAACTGGATAATGAAACTCTTGAACAGAGAAGATCAAGTGAAAATCAACTCTATGGAAACAGTTAATTCCATAACATGATTAAAGAAGAACTCCCTGTGATATTTCTTTCTTGGATATCTATATTTTATCTTTTAGTGCCAAGATTTGTTGCATCTTAAAAAAAAGTAGCTGTATTTCATTATATAAACATTGCTATTATCATTAAAGATGTCATTTACTATTAATTTTTGGTTACCAATATCTTTATGTTCCAGCAAATATGTTCCTCCAAAAGTGTTATTCATTACTAAGCTTTGGATCTTTTCTGCTGCAGTGTATTTCTCACCTTCAATTCTCACACCAGATCAATATTTCTAAAATCTATTGTGATTTCCAATATTTGAAAACTATATTTTGAGTAGTCAAAGAAGCCTTTTATTATCTTAAGCTCATTAGGAAGAGTGTTACCAAAAGATAGATGACTTTCCAGTCTAGTATCACCATGTTAATATTATCAGTATGTATTAAAGGCACTGAGTGATTATATCATATAACCACAGCTATCCCTCACATCTGTCAGAACGGCTAGCCTCAACAACACAAGAAACAACAAGTGTTGGCAAGGACGTGGAGAAAAAAGAACACTCGTGAACTGCTGGTGGAAATGCAAACTGGTGCAGCCACTGTGAAAGCAGTATGGAGGTTCCTCAAGAAGTTAAAAATAGAACTACCCTACAATCCAGCAACTGCATTACTGGGTACTTACCCAAAGAATACAAAACACTAATTCAAAGGGATACATGCACCTCTTTGTTTATAGCAGCATTATTTATAGCGGCCAAGATATGGAAGCAGCTCAAGAGTCCATCAACTAATGAATAAAGAATATGTGGTATACATACACAATGGAATACTATTCAGCCATTAAAAGAATGAAATCTTTCCATTTACAATGATATGGATGAAGCTGGAGAGTATAATGCTGAGTGAAATAAGTCAGAGAGAGACAAATACCATATAATTTCACTCAAATGGAATTTAAGAAACAAAACAAATAAGCAAAGGGAAAAAAAGAGAGAGAGAGAGAGATAGAAAACTGACGGTTAGAGGGGAAGGGGGTGGGAGTGGGGGGGTTGGGTTAAATAAGTGATGGGACTAAGGAGTGTACTTGTCATGATAAGCATTGGGTGTTGTATGGAACTGCTGAATCACTATATAGTACACCTGAAACTCATATATAATGCTGTATGTTAATGAACAGGAATTAAAATAAAAAACTTAAAAAATAAAATGTTAACTGACAGCTGCAAAGAAAAAAAAATAATCCCAGCTACCAAGGTTTCATGTTTTCAGATTTATTCTGCATATTTTTACAAAAAAAAAGTATTTTATTCAATTTCTTTTTATGATTATAGCCCATCTGGTTTAATGTCACCACTGTGTTCTCTATCTTCCTCTAAGGTAATTCAAGTCTACTCTCTTTTTCATCTTCACTTTGTTTTGATCTTTTGTGTTTACCACATGTGGGGACACATCTATTTTGTGCCCGTGCCAGATCTCCGCCTCAATTTATGTTTCGGGGGAAAAATTATCTGTGGAATCATTGATTTGTCTATAATTGAAAACAACTATACAAATTTTCCTTCACACAGCACTTTACAGGTTATTTTAAAAAGCATGAGTTAGAACATTTAAAATTATTTTAGGGGCACCTGAGTGGCTCAGTTGTTAAGTATCTGACCGGCTCAGGTCATGATCTCACAGTTCATGAGTTCAAGTCCTACTTGGATGAGCTAAAGCCCCACATCGGGTGAGCTCAAGCCCTGCACAAGCCCCAGGTGAACCCTGCTTCTCTCTCTCCCTCTCTTTGCCCCTTGCTCACTAGCGCCCTCTCTCTCTCAAAAAAAAAGTGATTTTAGATGTAAGAATTCAATTTGTGGGCATTTGTTACATTCATTAAGGTGTTTACTGGTCAAATATATTTAATCCTATATGCTAAAATATAAATGTATGAAGTTAAGATCTATAAAACTTAAAGTCTAAGATATCTTTTTTAAATTTCTATATTTTTAAAATTTATTTATTCTTGAGAGAGAGAGAGCACATGAGCAGGGGAGGGACAGAGAGAGAGGGGGAGAGAATCCCAAGCAAGCACAGTCAGCATGGAGTGTGGAGCCCCGCCGAGGCTAGTGATATCAAGAGTCAGATGCTTAACTGAGCCACCAAGGCTCCCCATAAGGTATCTATAATTTTTGAAGACATTCTTTGATCTTTCTGAACTAATAAAATATCCTACCAAAAAAAAAAATGGATAATCTTACAACTCACAGACTCCTATGTAATAATGAGACAACTCAAGGGAATCATGTAAAAATTCCTTGATAATGAGTATATAACTGGGGTGAATTATTTTTAAAAAAATCAAGTACTATTCCTGAAGTCACAAGTTGTAAAGAACCTTAACAATCTTTCTAGCCCAGATGAAAGCAATAGACAGGGTTGTGTTAAAAGTATTTTGACAGACTCAAGACAATTATATTCAACATTCTATGTGCTTCCTTTTGGCAACGTACTTTGATACTTCAGAGAATACAAACTGAAATAAAACACATTCACTATCAATAACCTACTGGGAATAATTAGCTCGTGTGTACAAGTTACATGTATAATATAGCAAAGCCTAACACAGCCAAGAACAGTATTTTAAGGGTTTAGAGTAGGACGGAGATTACAGTAGTCATAAATATTTCTCAGTAAAACATGTGAATAGGCATAATAAATGTTTATGTGTATCTGTATACACATGCATATATGTGTGTGCACACACAGATATACCTATACCATAAATAGCCTCCTGTCAGTTCAAGTCAGGTTTGCCACCAAAGTATAGGCAGTTAACTTTGGAAAAGTCTGTTTTCGGGGTTTTTTTTTTTCAAATTTAAAATTGCAGACAATGAATTATGGATCTGTATAAATTTTTCAAAGTCTAGAGTTTTCTCATGTGTAAAATGGAGAGTGTGATGGTTAATTTTATGTGTCAATTTGTCTGGGCCATGGTGCCCAGATGTTTAATCAAGCATTATTCTGGATGTGTCTGTGAGAGTGTTTTAGGTAAAATTTACATTTAAATCACTGGACTTGGAATAAAGCAGAATACCTTTCATGATGTGGGTGGGCCCCATACAACTAGTTGATGGCCTCATAGAACAAAAAGCTGACTTCCCCCAAGCAAGAGGAAATTCTGCAGTAGACCACTTTTGGACTTGAATGGTAACAATGGCTCTTCAGGTCTCCAGCCTGAATGTCTCTGGACTCAAACTGCAACCTGCAACTATTTCCTGAGTCTCTGGTTTGTCAGTTTTCTCCATCAAAAAAACTTTACACACCTTATTCTTTATAGGCACTTGATTATATAGGTGGTAATTTAAGTAACTGCTTTGCCATTGCATAGCATGGATTACCAGTGCACCCTTTACCAGTGGCCTTTAAATCTAATCAAAGCAGAGAATCAATTCCAGATAATCCAGATCCAGTTAGAGTACCCATTCATGAGGTTATATTCTTCTGGAACTACTTCTGTAATTGAAACCAATTCCTATATGTATCAGGGTTTATTCAGGAAAACAGAGCTACACTGAGTGATACAGAATATGGGATTTATTTTGGGAATTAGGTGTGACACACCTGTGGGAGCTGGTAGAAAAGCCAATGCAATGCAGTTGTTTCTGCATCTGGTGTTAAGTCCAAAGTCACTATGGGCCAGCTAAACTAGATGTCATGAAGAAAAGCTAGATATGAACGGAAGCAACTGTAAGGACAAACTAGAACCCTGTTTTCATTTATCTCTCACCATCTCCAACTACTGCCGTAGATGACCTACAGGAGAAGCTGGTGCCCTTTCCCATGCATCTACACGTTTAAAAGGAGTCTGTTACACATCCATATGTACATCCTCTTGGCCTTCGTCTAAGGGACCTGTGAAGAGTTAGCAGGGTGACCATACAGTGGGGAAAAAGAAATCCAAGACATTTTCAGTATTACTGAGCAAGGCTGCTGAAAAAATTCTACAGATCCCAAATACCACAGTGGTCACTAACCAGGAGAGGTCTATGCAGATCAGGTCATCAATGAAGTCTTCGCTTAAGTTGTCTCACAATGGGCCTAGTGTGTCTACAATCCTACTCTGTGGTTATTTCCCTGGTTCTGGGATGTATAATTGGAACAGACACACTGAGCAACTAAATGGCAAAATCTCTACACTGGTTCTGTAAGCAGTGAAGTAAAGGCTATTATAGTAGGAAAGACCAAGTAGCATTTGAGGAAGTATAGTGAGTAAAGGCAAGGTACAATAAAAGTTTGACTTTCCACTTTATCTGTTTCCAGAATGTGCTGGTTCCACAGCATCTTCCAAAGGTGTCCAAAGCCTTTTTTTCTTTATTAAATATCATTCTGAAGTCACGGATTTTTAATATATTTGACATGTTTCAATTTATTGTAGATACTCTTTTTGATGTTCAAACTGCCCCCACATCAGCCAGAGGGTGCCTACTTAAGTTAGCTCCTGGGTACTTTTGCCATGACCCAAGTAATGTTGATACCTTCTTTACCTTTTGCTACAACAGAGTGTTTTCTAGGCTCATCTTCTACTTTTCTATCCTAGATCTATGATCAATCATTTCTTTAAAGAGTCCTGGTTTCTTTTGGGATACCTCATTGCGACAGAATACTGGTCAGTGCTTCCAGGTCCTTTTAGTGGACAGAGCCAGGAGATACATGTTTTTAAGAGTAAAACACATCATGAGTTCCCATTATATTCCCAATTTCAATTCGAGTTGTAAGTTTTATTTAATTTCTTTGAGTTTCTTCTCTATTATAAAAATCTTGGTTCTTAAAGACATTTACATAATTACTCAATTGCTTTATCTCATAATTATAAGCTTCAGAATAATAATACCGATATTATTTCTAATGATATAACTACTAAACACAGTTTATGGTTTTTTTACATTTCCTTTTATCCTTAGGATTTATCTCACTAGGGATATACAGTCTAATTACTGTGTTTAATGTAACTTGACATAATTTATCTGTGTAATTAAGCCATTAACTTCCTACACAATTAGCTCATTTGTCTAATTTTACTTTCAATTTAAAAAAAATTTTTTTAGAGTTTATTTATTTTTGAGAGAGAGACAGACAGACAGACAGAGTGTGGGTGGGGGAGGGGCAGAGAGAAAGAGGGAGACACAGAATCCGAAGCAGGCTCCAGGCTCTGAGCTATCAGCACAGAGCCCGATGTGGGGCTTGAACTTGGGAATGGTGAGATCATGACCTAGGCCGAAGTTGGACGCTCAATCAACTGAGCCACCCAGGCGCCCCTAATTTTACTTTCAATTTTGGGGCTTTTAAAAAATTTTTTGATTTAATTTAAAAAATAATTATATGAACATTTATATAGCTTCAAACTCAAGCCAATATATCTATAAAACAAGTTTCATTCAAAGAAGTCTAGCCTTCATCCTTTGCTCCTTTCTCTTTCCTCACAGAGAACCATTTCAATTATTGTTTTGGTCACCTCTCTTTTTGAGAATGTGTGCATGTGTGTATGAACATAGCGTATACGTAGCATGCTGGTATATATATGTACACACATACACAGAGACGCCCCCCTCTTAAAAGGTAGAATACTACACACACTGTATAATACTTGATTTTTTCACTTAATATATTTTGGATACTGCTCCATGTGCTAAGATTTTAATTGGGATTACGATGCATCTATAGATGACAGGGGGCGTGGGAGGGCTGTTAACAAATTTATAACATTGAGTATTCTGATCAGTTAACCTGATCTCTATCTAGGTAGGCCTTCTTTAATCATCCTGATATCATAGTTATGTAGAAGTCTTACACATTGTTAGATTTATTCCTGGGTATTTTATCTTTTTGATGCATTGTTTACTATTATAGGTTTAATTTTGAAATATTTGTTGTAGGTATGTAGGAATACAATTAATTTTTATATATTTGCATATTATCTATTAATTATTTTGGACTTATTACATATACAGTCATGCTATCTGTAAAGAATGACTGTTTCTTCCTTCCTTTCTAGTTTGTTTACCTTTTCATTTTCTTGCCACAGTGCACTGAAAATCAGGACTTCTGATACAAACATTAAGAGAAGTGATTATAATGAACTTCTTTGTATCTTCTCAATCTTCAAAGGAAAGTTACTAACATTTTTTGCCAATAAAAATGTTTGCTTTAGAATAGATACCTTTACAAAATTAAAGAAATTCTATTTCTAGTTTGCTAAGAGATATTTTGAAAAATGATAAATGGATATCAAATATTATCAAATGCTTTTTCTGTATTGAGAAAGCCTTATAATTTTTCTTTTTTAAAAAAATCTAATGCAGTAAATTATATTATTTATTTTCTAAGCTTTTAATAATTTTGCATTCCCAGGATAAGCCAAATTGGTAACAATTTTTTTTTTTGTTAGTTCTTTAATGCTCTCGATAGATGTTTTCTACAATTCATCTAACTTTTTTGGTTGTGGTCTAGGGCGGGTTCAAACTGCCTAGCTCACCATTCATTAACTGGAAGCAGAAATTCTCTTTGTCTCTTCAATTCATTCCAAATACATTTTTATTCCAGCATTCCACCAAAACTGCTCTTATCATGGTTAACAAAGACCATCAAAAGGCAACAAACTAAAAGGTCCATTCTCAGTCCTCACCATATTCACCACTCAGTAGCATTTTATAAAACAACAGTTAAGAGCATGTTGTCTTTACTGGTCATTCTGTTAGCTAAGTGACTTTGACTAAGTTCCTTAACCTCCCTCAGCCTCAGTTTCTCTACAGTAAAATGTAAATGACAATGTTATCCAGTTCTAGGGTTGTTGTAAAGTTTAAGTAAGTACATCTAAGTCGTTTAGAGCAACAACAAAAAAACACATTATGTGCTAAATAAATATCACCTATTATTATTGCTTATACTCCTGAAAAAAAAAAGATTTCTTTTTTAACCATTCTGTCATGATTCTTATTTCTCTGGATATTCTTTCTCAGTCTCTTTCAGACTTTCAGACTCTTTCAGTCTCAATCTTCATCTCTCCAGAATTTAACTTTTGGAAATTAGTCTTCCGACAGCTTAATTTCTCTACCTAGACTTCCTTTCTACACAATATTATCCCATGACTTTAAAAATCACGTATATGTTAATGAGTCCCACAATTATAGCTCCTGTTGCAATCTCTTTCTTGAACTTCAAACTTACAGACTCTACTGACTAGTTAATATCCTGATTTAAATGTCTTTTAGGCAGCACATATTTAACATGGTTCAAACAAACTTTTTAAAATGATTTCCAACCCTTCAAAACCTAATCCAAGTTAGAATCATTTTACACGCCAATTATTACAGTATTTGCCAACCTTCTCCCTTCTACCCTTGCCCCTCTAGTCTGTTCTTCAAACTTCAATCAAACTGATTTGTTAAACATTTAAGCCTGATCATATCACTTTGCTCAAAGCTTTCCATAGCATCCCATCGCATTCAGCATAAAAGCTCAAGTACTTTCCAGGCAGGGGTCAGCAAACTTTCTCTTCAAGGGCCAGAGAGCAAATATTTCAGGCTTTGCAAATCAATCACATTCTGCTGCAACCACAAAATATTATATGCTATACCTATATGCAAAGAGTATTAAGATTCTAAACTGCCACGTCCAAAAAAAATCATTATATTCTGTGGAATGTGACTAAAGTTTTCAAAAATGTAGTATGAGTTTTGGTTTCTAATGCTTAATATTTTTCATAGCAGTTCAATAAATATTTGCTGAATAAAAAATAAGATATTTTTACAAAAAGATGGCAAAGACATTAAAGGTTAAATAATTTATTCTGTAAAATGTATCAAACAGTTAATAGTGGACTTACTTGAGATTACTGATTCTAATCTCTGCACTTTCAGTAAGTTTCTTTGTTTCTTCTTTCCACCTATTGGCCACCTTCTGTTGAGTCACTAAGAGATGTCTCAGTTCAACAGTGGAATTTCGATTACTGTCTTCCATCTCTCTTAGTTGAACTTCAAATCCATGTTCCTTTATTGAAAATTCATGTTCCATTGTACTGATCTAAGGAACAAAATGAACACATATCTTCTTTTATTTTTTTTTTTCTATTGTAGGGGATACACTGATCAGTGATACTTACAAAAGCAATAACTCATTGTGGTGTTTGTGGCACAGAAATGTCTGGATGAGATATATAAAAATAAGTTTACAATTTTCCTTCATCACAAATGAAGACTTATCCTGTATTGTAATTTAAATTTGGTGAAACCAGAATTATGGACAATTTTTTTGCAACACTTTCCTCAACATCTTAAAATGCCGGTAGGAAAAAAGTATACTATTTAATATAAAACTGCTCTCATTATCTACTTTCACTTTTGCTGCCAGGATCCATGGAAAATGTTCATGCTCTCAAATAACTGAGAGCTTTTTACTCAAACCATTAAAAAAAAGTTTACTAATTTATTATAAAGGGTACAACTCAAAAACAGGCAAATGGAATAGTTATATAGGGCAAGGTATGGATTTGGGGGTGTGCAGAGCCTCCACGACCTCTCCAAATGCACCATCCTCTCAGCACCTTAATGTGCTCAACTCAGAATCTCCTCAGGTCACCTCATACTAAATTTCAAGTTGTCTTTTAAAGGGTTTTGTAAAGAAAGTAATATACGAGAATTTCTTTACCACTTCAGTTATGGTATAAACAAATATTTCTTTTTCAGGAAAAAAAAAGACTATAAATAATGATTTTTCAGAATCTCATATGTAAGGATTGTCCATTATTTCCAGCTAATTTATGTCATTAGGGTAAAATAACTTAATGCAGAATAAACATATAAGTAAATGCTTTTTGAATACTCTAGAAGCATTCTTAATTGGGGTTCAGGGAGAAAATTAAGCCCTAATGCTCTCAGGCATTCAGTGTATGTAATGAATTGCCTTCTCTTGAATGCTTCTAGAATGAAACTGTCTATACCATCCTTGAGGCAACTGAGAAAACAGTCACTAGAACAATTTATTTGGTGTACTCTCAGGCCATCTTTATCTTACGATACTAAAGAAACATTATAAAGAATACTTATCTTATGATATTTTAAAGTAATGTGCTTTAAAGATCGTTACAGCTGGTATAGCTTATAGTAATTCATCAAATATGGCCACTTTCCAAAATCAAAAAAGGATGAATAAAAAGGACTCAACTTTACTAAATACCAAGGAAAACTAAACAACAGCAAAATCCATGGTTCTTGGGGTAAACTGCAAACACCCATCCTCACTACTTCTGCTAAATGCAACGTGCTTCCTAAAACTCTTAAATTTGGTTTCTCAAATAATACACAAGTAGAAATTTAAGACTTTATAAATACTGGCACTGGGAAAACAACCTTGGTTTTATTAATTGTCTATTATATTACAAGCTTCAGAGGCTCCTTGACTCCTGCTATTTTAATTTCTGTCTTATTGGATTCTGCAAATTTAGATTTGAATATGCTCCTACTCCTTCTCTGTCTCAATCTCAACCTTGCCTGGAGAAGCCATGGTTCTTATGTGTTAGGCAGAACCGTCTATTTCTGTCTTTGTCTCTCTCATATATATATTAAAAACTGATAAATGCATCTATACAGTTTTAGAAGTCTGCGTGCCTAGTTAACTCCCCATTTCTTCTTAGAAAGTTTATTTGTAATTTGATAAGCCTTGTTCTGAGGTTCTTTGTGACAACCTCGTCTTTGTCTACTTCTAACAAGCTTGTGTTGTGCTACTATTCCCTTTTTTTTTCTTTGTTTCTGTTACAATGGCTTCTCATTCTTGGCTCATTTTCACATGTAGTTCCCTTTGCCTGAAGTAATCTTACCCCTCCTGCTTGTCTTAGTTATTTCTATTCAATTTTTAAAACTTAGTTCAATTATTGCTTCTATCTAGAACCAAATCAAGTCCCTCTGTTATAAGTTCTCTCAGTGCCCTATGTTTTTCCTAAAGAGTATTTATTAGTTTGTAAATACATGTTAAAGTTTGCCCATCTCCATGAAAAAATGACAGTTTTAAGGTTGGGGGAGGCGCATGTCTTCATTACATTTTCAGCACCTGAAACATAGTAAAGTTACCAAAACACATCTGTAGACCAAATTAATGATGGCTTTTTGGTATCAAAATGTAGTCTTTAAACACATGCCAGATCCTTTAGCTGGTGAAATTCCAACTGTTAAACTGGACAGATCTGCAGCTATGGACTACAAACAACTGAGTCTCCTATAACAGAAGTCCCACTAATGATTAAATTCAATATATTGGTAGGAAGAAAGGATTTATGGTCTCCCTTTTTTCTTTGTGCTTTTCCTCTGCAGAGAACCACTCACACAAATAGTTCTGTCATCCTTTTGTTCTCCAAAACATCAATTACTATCCTGAACTGTTAAAGATAGATAAAATGTAGCACCAGGTAGGGAAAGTCATGAATTTCCCTCTCCCCCATTATAAAAACCAAAACCCGTAAACATAAACATATTGTAAAGTAATGGAAGATAAAAAAATTAAAAACAAATATAAGGTTTCTGTAATTGACAATTCAGAGATAACTACCTCTACTCTACCTGTTGTTTTTTATTTATGAATTTTAGAAGTTAGAGTAGTGAATACAGAATTGCAATATATATATACTTATAGTTTTTCTTATTGTTTTAAAACAGACATAGCAATATAAAAAACATTATAAATTATTTACAACCAATTTTTAATGATGACTCAATACAGTATTTTATAGATGTACCATCTCATTGTTCCTTCATTTCTAGTTATGAATAATGTTGCAATGGATTTTTTGAATTATGAAATATTTTACTTATTTTCTTACGAGAAAATTTTAGACTCTAAATGTGTACCATTTTTTTTTAAAAAATTAATATTTATTTTTTTGAGAGAGACAGAGTGCAAGTGAGGGAGGGAGAGGCAGAGAGAGAGGGAGACACAGAATCTGAAGCAGACTCCAGGCTCTGAGCTGTCAGTATAGAGCCCGATGTGGGGCTTGAACTGACAAGCTGCAGTCGATTGACCTGGGTTGAAGTCGAATGCTTACCTGACTGAGCCACCCAGGGGCCTCTAAATGTGTATCATTTTAAACTCTCAGTTGCACATTCACTCACTGATAACTATGCAATTAATTAATAGTGACTTTAAACTTTAAAAAAGTTATTTACTAGCACTTTGTTTCCTTAGTCTGTGACTTCTGTTCATGTCTCCTACACGTTCTTCTATTGGGTTATAGTATTTTTTAAAGCTCCTTATGTGTGAAAGTTTTTTGTCTTTTGTCCCATTTACTAAAATTATTTCTCCCAGTTATTTCTTTTCAAAACATTTAAAAATGGTTCTAAATATTTAAAAACTTTATATACCTAAACCTACCAATATATTCATTTGCAATATCTTCCAATTTTGTTTGTTTTGCTAGGAAAGTTCTTTTCCATCTATCAGTTACATATCTGCCTACATTTCCCACTAATGTTTTATAGTGTCACTAATAGCTTTTAGTTATAAACCCATATGAAATTTATAATGTAAAATTTAAAATCAAACAAGGTACAAATAGTTTTTCACCAAGTACACTGACTTATTTTATTATGGAAATATTTTGGTATGAGAACTTTCAAACATACACAAAATAAAAATAAAAATATTACAACGAATCCCTATGTGCCCATCAACCACATAGTGCACTTGTTTTATCTGCACTCCTACTAAACTTTCCTTTGCCAAGATTTATCTTTCTTTTCCTTACAATGAACTACATCCCAACTCAAGTTTTACACATATACTGACATGCCAGAGTCACCACCCTGATTTAGATATCTCAGGAGGCTCACTCATATGTCCTAATCATTACTCATTTTGTAATTGAAGTTGTAACCTCTATTCTGATCTCATCCTCATAGGTAATTATGCCTATTCTTCACTTTCAAATAATGAAATTAATACTCTAGAGATTTTTCGTGTCTGGCTTCTTTGTTCAACATTAGGTCTGTGAGACTCATCCATAATTATAGTTCATTCTGTTTTATTGGTGCATCTATTTCATTATCTGAGTGTACCACCATTTATTTATGTAATCTCATGTGGATGGACATGAGTTATTTTCAGTGTTTGATATGATTAAAACTTTTATGAATATTCTTATACAGATGTCTTCATGAACATAAGCACTCATATCTATGGGTATGTAGCCAGGATTATTTGGCATCGTATGTATGTATGTATGTCCAACTTTAAAAGATAATGCTAACTGCTGGTTGTACCAACTTACATTCTCAAAGTAGTGTATGAAAGTTCCAGTTGCTTTATATCTTTGTCAACACTTGAGAGTCTTAGTTTTTTTAAATTTTATTTTAGCCATTCTGGTAGGTATGCAGTGGTACCTCACTGCAATTTTCATTATTTTGCTGATTAATAATGCAGTTGAACATTTTTTCATAAATTCTCTTTTATGAAGTGCCTATTTAAAGTTTTTACCCACTTCTGGAAACGGGTGTTTGTTTTTTCCTTATTAACTGCTAACTATTTTATCATTAACTGGTAACAGTTTTTATATTCTATTCTAGATATTAGTCCTTTTTTTGGTTATGTTCTATTATATATACATATATATATTATTGTATTACAAGTGTATTATATTATACATACATTATATATACTTTCCATATTCCAAATACTTTACTTTTCACCCTCTTAATGGTGTCTTTTTTTTTTTTTAATATTTGTTTATTTCTGAGAGAGAGAGAGACAGAGCATGAGCAGGGGAGGGACAGACAGAGAAGGAGACACAGAATCTGAAGCAGGCTCAGGCTCTGAGTTGTCAACACAGAGCCCGACGTGGGACTCGAACTCACAAACTGTGAGATCATGACCTGAGCCAAAGTCAGACGCTCAACTGACTGAGCCACCCTGATGCCCCAATGGTGTCTTTTTTTATTTCGACAATTGGATTGTGATTTTTAAGAGGCAAGACTGGCAAACCAGGGCTAGCATTGTACTTAATGGTGTCTTTTGATGACTCAATATTAATTTAATGAAATCCAATTAATTTATTATGATTATTGCATTTCGTGTTCTCATTAAGAAATTCTTTCTAACCCAAGATCATGAAGATTGAAGGTCCACTGTTTTATATGTTGCATTTAGGTCTACAAGACAGATCAAATGAGTTTAAATGTGTGGTGTGATATAGGGGTCAAGGTTTATTTTAAAAATATGGACCCAATTAATCTAGCATCATTTTTTATAAAGATAATTCTTTCCCTGTTGAACTACAGTAGTGCTTTTGTTATAAATGAGGTGATTATGAAAAATGGGTTTGTCCCTGGACTATGTTTTGTTCCATTGATCAAATTGATTATTATTGATAGCACAGTGTAGCTTTATATCGTCAATATCTGGTGGTGTGATTCTTCCCTTTTGTTCTTTGAAGATTTCCCACATACTAAACCATAAAGTACAAACCTCTCTGTATGATCTACAAAGCTGTCTTTCAGAGTTAAAGCTTTTATTAATAACTACAGTGTCTGATACATGCAGTAGAAGGCAATACATATGGGTTGATATGAATTAGGTTGGAATGTGACTTTGTAGGAGTACACAGTAACAAAAAACAAAGTGAAACATAAATACTGCTATCTCAATCTTTACTATGAAACTGGAAGATACAGCTTTTTAACATAAAGAGTTAATGCCACCTTTTACAAAAGTTGCATGGAATGGGGTAAAGCAAGCAACATGCTGATGGTCACACCAGTGCTTCTTGTAACTCCCTTAAACATGTTCCTATTGTCAAAGCATATTAAGCATTACCATGAAGAAAGAGGGAAGGAGAGGGAAAATAAAGGGGATTTTTTTTTCTAGAAGAGACTTTTATCCCTTGCCTTCCTCCTAGCATGGAAATTTTAGACTACCTATGAGAGGTTCTCAGAGCATACTGATGTAGCATCCTCTATAGAGCTAGTTTTAGAGTTCAATTTTTAAGAGGCTATTATATAAGAGAGGATGACAGTCTGTAAAGTTATCTCATCTATAGTTTTGCTAGCACTGCTTAAATTGCTTTGGCAAGAATATCAGTGTATTTCATGGTTGGAAAGAATTTTTTTGTGTGTGGATAGTGAAAGCAATCATTTTTAAGTATGCTTGCCAAATTCTACAATACAAAAAAGACTGGTTAATGCTCTGCATTATGATTTAGTGCTATCTGATGAAAAGGCAAAAAAAAAAAAAAAAGGCCTTAAAAATGTTTTACTGGGTCTCTTATATTTTGATTTTCACAAGTACACATTTAACTCTAACTAGACTTGAAAATACCTTTAATTTGGCTTTTTTTTGAGCTTCAAGAGCAATCTTTCTTAAATCCTCAGTCTCTTTCTGTAACTGTTCATTTTCTTGCTGAAGTTTCAGCCTTTGTTCACTGACAAATCCACAGTTTTCTCTCTCAGACTCCAATAAGTTTTGAAGTTTCTGAATCATTTCTTGGCAACGTGATATCTCTTCTGAGGAACTGATAAAAAAAAACAAAAGGAATCCTTAATTAAACTTAATGATCTGTAACAGAAGTCAAGCACTCTGTTTTATAGTATAGAGTTGTTTTCTTTGTTCTGACTCATTTCTCTTCACAGAGGATTTTCTTTTTTTAATTTTTATTTATTTATTTTTTTAGATTTACAGCCAAATTAGTTAGCATATAGTGCAACAATGATTTCAGGAGTAGATTCCTTAATGCCCCTTACCCATCCAGCCCATCCCCCCTCCCACAACCCTCAGTCTGTTCTCTGTATTTATGAGTCTCTTCTGTTTTGTCCCCCCTCCCTGTTTTTATATTATTTTTGTTTCCCTTCCCTTATGTTCATCTGTTTTGTCTCTTAAAGTCCTCACATGAGTGAAGTCATATGGTTTTTGTCTTTCTCTAATTTCACTTAGCATAATACCCTCCAGTTCCAACCACGTAGTTGCAAATGGCAAGATTTCATTCTTTTTGATTGCCAAGTAGTACTCCATTGTGTGTGTGTGTGTGTGTGTGTGTGTGTGTGTGTGTGTCTGTGTGTGTGTGTGTATTTATATACCACATCTTCTTTATCCATTCATCCATCGGTGGACATTTGGGCTCTTTCCGTACTTTGGCTATTGTTGATAATGCTGCTATAAACATGGGGGTGCATGTGTCCCTTCAAAACAGCACACCTGTATCCTGTGGATAAATGCCTAGTAGTGCAATTGCTGGGTCGTAGGGTAGTTCTATTTTTAGTTTTTTGAGGAACCTCCATACTGTTTTCCAGAGTGGCTGCACCAGCTTGCATTCCCACCAACAATGCAAAAGAGATCCTCTTTCTCCGCATCCTCTCCAACATCTGTTGTTGCTTGTTATCTTCACTGAGGATTTAAACTATGTGGTTTCACAATGTTATATTAGCCCAGGCAAACACATTCAGCTTAGCAATCTTGACTAATACACTGAACAGTTACCATTCACCTATAAAATCTATGTGAAACTTTTTTCAAATTTTTACTAACACTGAGAATCACTGTGTAACAAGGACTTCAAGAGGATAAACTGAAGCTAATGATAAGGAAGGTGAAATAGATAATGATCAAAACTCCTTTACTACTTTGATTAACTCCATAGGAAGACACATTAGCTGTCTAGATTACTAAATTACAATAAGACCTATTTCATATTTTTCTGTTGCATGACTTAAAAATTTTTTTTATAAACTTCCAGCTCTACAAATCTCATTTTATCAGTTTAAATAGGTTATAGTTCTTGAACTTTCTCAACAATGGATTATTGGGTAACACAACCTTCAAACATGTATGTTGCTTCAATATGCTAACAACTTATATTCCTATCTTTTAAAATTTCTATCTTTTCAAACCCAGCTAATCAAATACTGTGAACATTCTCTGGTCAACAGGTGTCAGAGGAAATATATATAAGGTCCTTTAGTTCCGTATACTATAACTCTTTTTTCCTATTCAACTTTGGCTGATAAAGTTTCTAATGAAATGATGGATCTAGGAAATGATCAAAGGATGATAAAATCAGAAAGATGCTAAGATCAGAAATAATCACATATTTTATTTTTCCTTTTCAAATTTTGATGTAAATTTTAGTTAACATACAGTGCAATACTGGTGTCAGGAGCAGAATTCAGTGATTCATCACTTACATATAACACCAAGTGCTCATCATAACAAGTGCCCTCCTTAGTATCCATCACCCATTTAGCCTATCCCCCACCTGCCTCCCTCCATTAACTCTCAGTTTATGCTCTATCTTTGAGGGTTTCTTAGGGTTTGTTTCCCTCTCTCTTTTTTCTCCCTTCCCCACCATGTGTTCATCTGTTTTATTTCTTAAATTGCACGTATGAGTGAAATCATACTGTATGTCTTTCTCTGCCTGACTTATTTCACTTAGAATACACTCTAGCTCCATCCACGTTGCTGCCAATGACAAGATTTCACTCTTTCTTATGGCTGAGTAACGGTCCATTGTATATATGCTGCCTCTAATTTATCCACTCATCAGTCGATAGGTGTTTGGTATCTCTCCACAGTTTGGCTATTGTTGATAATTCTGCTATAAACATCAGGGTGCACATATCCCTTCGAATCAGTATTTCTGTATCCTTTGGGTAAATGCCTAATACTGCAATTGCTGGATCGTAGGGTAGGTCTGGAAAAGAGTATGGAGGTTCCTCAAAAAGTTAAAAATAGAACTACCCTACAACCCAACAACTGCACTGAACAATGCTTATTCATTTTTGAGAGAGACGGAGAGAGAGCACATGCACATGAATAGGAGAGGGGCAGAGAGAGGGTGACAAAGGATTCAAAATGGACTCTATGCTGATAGCAGAGATCCCAACGTGGGGCTCAAACTCACGAACCCTGAGATTATGACCGGAGCCGAAGTTGGATGCTTAACCAACCAAGCCATCCAGGCATCCCTCCTGTGATAGTTTTTGACTTAAATTCTATTTGTCTGATATAAGATACTCCTGCTATCTTTTGGGCACCATTCGCATGGAATATCTTTTGCCATCTCTTCATTTTCAGCCTATGTGTTTCCTCAAGTTTAAAGTGACCCTCTAGTAGGCAACATATAGTTGGATCTTATTTTCTAATCCATTCTGTCACTCTGTCTTTTGATTGGATGATTTAATCCACTTAAATTAAAAGTAATTACTAATAGGTAGTAACTCGTGATTTTGTTGTTTTCCATTTTGTAGTTCCTTTGTTCTTTTATTTCTATTTTAGTTGTCTTCCTTTGTGATTTGTTGAATTTTTGTAGTAGCTGCTTTCATTCCTTTCTCTTTACCTTTTGGGTGTCTACTACACATTTTTTTTTTTTTTTTTCTGATTAGCATGAGACTTACATAAAACGTCTGTTATGAGTCTATTTTAAATTGGTAACAATTTCAATCACTTTTATTTCTCTCTCTCCTCACATTCTGTGTTATTGATGTCATACTTTACATCTTTTAAATTTTTTTTTTTCAACGTTTATTTATTTTTGGGACAGAGAGAGACAGAGCATGAACGGGGGAGGGGCAGAGAGAGAGGGAGACACAGAATCGGAAACAGGCTCCAGGCTCTGAGCCATCAGCCAAGAGCCTGACGCGGGGCTCGAACTCACGGACCGCGAGATCGTGACCTGGTTGAAGTCGGACGCTTAACCGACTGCGCCACCCAGGCGCCCTGACATCTTTTTATATTGTATATCAATTATCACATTATTGTACTTCTTGTTATTTTTAATAATCTTATCTTTTAGCTTCTATACTAGAGTTAAAAGTGATTTATGTAGTACTATTATGAGTCTTAGAGTATTCTGACTTTGGCAATATACTTTCCTTTACCAGAAAGTTTTATTCTTTCACATATTTTTATGTTTCTAATTAGTATCCTTTTAGTTCCATTTGAAAACTCTAGCTTTTCTTATACAGCAACTCTAATAGTGATGCACTCCCTTTTGAGCTTTTGTTCATCTTAGGAAGTTTTTAATCTCACTTTTACTTTTGATGGACAACTTTGCTGGGTATAGTATTCCTGGTTTGCACTTTTTTTCTTTCAGTACTTTGAATATATCATGCCACTTTCTCTCTGCTAAAAAGTTTCTTCTAGGGGGCGCCTGGGTGGCGCAGCCGGTTAAGCGTCCGACTTCAGCCAGGTCACGATCTTGCGGTCCGTGAGTTCGAGCCCCGCTTCAGGCTCTGGGCTGATGGCTCGGAGGCTGGAGCCTGTTTCCGATTCTGTGTCTCCCTCTCTCTCTGCCCCTCCCCCGTTCATGCTCTGTCTCTCTCTGTCCCAAAAATAAATAAACGTTGAAAAAAAAAATTAAAAAAAAAAATAAAAAAATAAAAAGTTTCTTCTAAGAAATCCATTAATACTTTTATTGGGGTTGGAGGGAGTCCCATGTATGTGATGAGTCACTTCCTGTTTTAAAAATTCTTTTTTATTTTTAGCAATTTGATTATAATGTGTCTAGGTGAAGACCTCTTGATGTTGAGCCTTTCTGTGATTCTTTGAGTGTCATGGATCTGGATGTTCAATTCCCTCCCCAGATTTGGGCAGTTTTCTATTATTATTTCTTTACAAGCTTTCTGTTCTTTTCTCATTCTCTGCTCCTTCTGGGATTTTCATAATGTGTATACTAATTCACTTTAAGATGTCCCATAACTCATGTAGGTTTTTTTCAGTCTTTTTCATTCTTCTCTTTGTTCCTCTAACTGGATTTCAAATGACCTCTCTTCAAGCATGCTGATTTTCTTCTGAATGATCAAGTCTGCTACTGAAACTCCACAGAATTTTTCAGTTCAGTTCTTCAGCTCCAGGATTTCTGTTTGTTTCTTTTTAATGGATTCTACTTCTTTGTTAAACTGCTCATTTTGTTCATGTAACATTTTTCTGATTTTATTTAGTTGACTCTGTTCTCTTATAGCTGAGTTTCTTTTTTTTTTTTTTCAACGTTTATTTATTTTTGGGACAGAGAGAGACAGAGCATGAACGGGGGAGGGGCAGAGAGAGAGGGAGACACAGAATCGGAAACAGGCTCCAGGCTCTGAGCCATCAGCCCAGAGCCCGACGCGGGGCTCGAACTCACGGACTGCGAGATCGTGACCTGGCTGAAGTCGGACACTTAACTGACTGCGCCACCCAGGCGCCCCTGAGTTTCTTTAAGACAATATTTTAAATTTTTGTTAAGCAGTCCATGGATCACCATTTCTTTTGGGTCAATTATTAGTTTCCTTTATTAGTTTATTAGTTTCCTTTGATGATGTCATATTTGCCCAATTCTTTCTTGGTATCCGTGTATTTGAAGAAGCAGATTCCTCTTCTAGTCCTTACAGACTGAAGGAGGAAGACTTCCTCCTGCCAAGTCCCATAGCTGATGAGGCTGCTTCTGGGATTGTGGTTGAGCAAGGCTGAAACCATGTCATGTGACTACTGCCAAGTTCATGTTTGGCAGGCATGTAACCAAGGGCACTGTCAAGTGTTTTGTCCAGTGAGTTCCTAAAGGTGCTCCTGTCATGCCACTGAGCTGGTCCATATGTGCATAGGACTGTTTCTGGACTGTGGTAGAGTGGGACTAAAGCTGGGTCACAAAACTACTTCACAGATTGTAGTCAGTTCTGAGGTCAGTGGGTCTGTAACTGGAAGCATCTATGGGTGTAGCTTGTGCTGAGTCTTTTGGGTGGTTGGCTGGACGCCTAGCCATGAAAGACTACCTCAAACTGTGGTACAGCAAAGCTGGATCCATGTCTTATGGTTTTTGCTAAGTCTGCAGTCAGGTCTGTGGTTGGCAGGCCTGTGACTAGAGGTGTGGCCAGGTGTGACTTCTGCTGGGTAACTGTTAGTACTCCCAGAACTGGGCTGGTTCTGGGTGGCAGGGTTGCTTCCAGACTACAGTAGAGTGGAACTAAAGCCAGGTTGCAGGGACAGTAAGGTCTGAGTTTGGCAGGCCTGTTATCAGAAGCACTCACAGGCATGGCTTCTCCTGAATCCCTAAGTGGAAGAGGCTAGGTGCAGGACTGTCAACAAGCAGGGCTAGAGCCAAGTCCACATGTAGATGGGGCTGCTTTGGCCCACAGATAGGACCATAGTATATGCTGGCACTGGTGTGTAGGCCTGCCTCCCTGTTTTGGGGCTCCAATAGTGATTTGTAACCTCCTACCTGGATCCCAAAGCTTTCACAAAGGCACTTTTGTCCAGGGATGCCTTTCACATATTTGTTTCTGTGGAGGGATATGGGCTGGGTACCTCCAATTCATTCCACTATATTGCTGACAGTATTCATCTTTATTTTTAAAATATCTATCAAACATATTCTGTAACAGATTGAGATTTCATGCAATTCAAATTAAGTTTTACTGTATTAAGTAACACTCTGGCAGGAAAGGTAGAAACTTAGTTAGAACGGATATACCAGATTATAAATTTACCATTTTAATAGACAATGTAATAAATAAACATGAAGGATTATTATAGAATATTCAAAAAAAAAAAAGAAATATAAGTATAAACTGATTATAAAAGCAATAATTGTAAGGAAGCTACTGCAATAGCTTAGTTAGTATGAAGAAAAACCCAATCTTATAAGCATTCTATTTAACTGCCAGAAAGGAGAAATTTGATATAAATGGTATAATACTGTTGAATCTTTTCTTCTGAAACAAATTAGTTTTCAGAAATAAGCTTGAAAAAAATTCTATTTGGTGCTAAATTTTTTGTCCCAACATATATATAAGTCCTATTTAAGAAAAGTAAAGAATCTGTCAAGAAGTATGTGAATTACAAAAATGTTAATAGAAAATATAAAATAACTTACTTTATTTCAAGTTGTTTTATTTTATTTTCTGCTGTCTTAAGTCTTAGCTGAAGATCGTCTTTTGAACGCTCTGCAACCAGGCATCTTTGGTGCATTTCCTCTAGTTTTCTGTAATCACTTTCATTTACTCTGCCTTCATGGTAAATCTGCAAAAGAAGCTTATATGTACTACCTTACAGAAGAAAACTGTCTTAACAAATTATACAGTGTAGAAACTGAAGTCAATGGATAAATAAAAACCCATAATCATGTGTTCATCTGTTCCCATTGTAACACACTAAAACATATCAATAATTTTGGTGTTTCATATTTATAAAATAAAATGTTGAAAACTGACATATAATTGCTTATTTTTTGAACTTGTTCATGCTTATGGTAAACTATTCAAAAAGTTTTAATATTTTATTTTTAATTATTTATTTTATCCTTTCTTTTATTAATGTGCTGTATCATGCTGACTGATTTGTGAATACTGAACCACCCTTGCAACCCAGGAATAAATCCTATTTGATCATGGTGAATGATTTGTTTTTTTTAATGTATAGTTTGGATTCAGTTTTGTCATTGAGAATTTTTGCATCTATGCTTATCAGGAATACTAGCCTGTAGTTCTCTTTTTCAGTGGTGTCTTTATCTGGTTTTGGTATTAGGGTAATACTGGCCTCATGAAATGAATATGGAAGTTTTCCTTCCTTTTCTATTTTAGGGAATAGTTTGGGAAGAATAGGTATTAACTCTTCTTTGTTTGATAGAACTTCCTGTGAAGTCATCTGGTACTGGGGACAGTTTCAATATTTTAAAAAGAAATATAAAATAGTTGAAATAAAAAAAATACTCTAAATGTCACCACTTAGAGATAATTGTTTTGATTCAATTGTCTTGAATACCTTTTAAGAAAATTCTATATTCTGGTATTAAAAAATACAGACATATGCTATGGAGCAATGAGTAGAACTATCTGAAAGTGACTTCAGAATCTTACTCTGGTTTAACTAGACAATGATCTAACTGAAACGGGAGTTCCTCTTTCCCCAACGGGAGTGACTGTACCCAAGCTCAGCTTCTTATAAGACTAAGCTTCCTACCACGACACAGGGGCTATAACATCCCAAGAAGTGTGAAGTTGCCAGGTGCTAAGCAGCTCACATTTTCAGACAAATCCCACACAAGGCTATCCTCTAAATCCAGACTGCCTGGCCAATAACCTGTATCTTCTTCCACTGAAAAGACTGCTTTGCCAATCCTACTCTATAAAAAGGTAAAATATCAGCAAGTTAATGTCCCACTACTAAAATACAGGCCTATAGTACAGTCCCAGCAGTGCTTTGACTTCAGCACACTTGTTTGTGGGACAGTGGGAGAATTAGGGACCTGTGCCTTCTCTTTACCTGTTGTCTTTAGTATTGTAAGTTTTACATTTCCTCAATTAAGCCTATTCCTTACTCTATGCCATGTAATATTAAGAAATTCATCCCAGCCCTGGTGTATAGCAGGTGGCAATCTAAATGGGATCTATACATATTCCATAACATATAGTAACTCAGAAGGAATCAACCTTGCAGGAGAAAGATGACCATAAAGGTCCCACTTGGAATATGACATGTATGCTATATGCTGCTTTGTAAAGGACTCATTTACTATCTGATGTCATGATCTTTCTATGTCAATAACACATATATGTCACATGCTTTTTACTGATTGCTAAGTTTACTGATTTTCTTTATGCTATGTAGCACAGCATGTATGTACTCTTCTTTGAAAATCAAAGTCTGACTGTAACATTTAGTATTTGTTAACATTAGGTAACTTACTTAACCTCTCTACAAAAGTTCCTAATGCACCACTTAAAATACCGTATATTCTGCACCAAGTGTAGTCTCCATTTTTTCCCCAAGGTATTTTACAAGAGTGGGATATTTACTGATGATAAAAAAGCTATCTAAGTAAGAAACAAATTTTAAACTACACACTTCTTACAGTATTTTTTCATAAATATCATTTGGGTAATATTTTTCTACTTACAAAATAAAAACCTATACTTTTAAAAGGTTAAAATCAGAGCAATGTTGTAATTTTCTGGTTATACATATTTGTATTTATAGATGGCCTGAACCCAATAAAAGTTGGCATAGAATTTAAAAACACAAGGAAGATGAAGTAAAATTTACTACTGGAATAAGGTTTAATCAAGGATAGCTACTTCAAAAAATGTACACCTTTAAGTAAAAAGTACAAGTACTATGGCCACTCTTATAAAGAAATGTATTCAGGCAATACTAGTATTTAAGTACAGATTCTGAATATATTCCAGGTAAAAACACTCACTTATAATATAGGGATTGCTAGTAGGCAGTGTGATGAAAGCAAACAGTAATAGTGAATATCTGCAGTTGAGTTTAGGTATTTTTTCCTTTTTACCTTTTCTAGTTCTTCTTCCACTGCTTTTTTCTCCCTAATGGCTCGTTCAATTTGGCTTTGTTTTTCAGCACACTCCTATAAATTCAATTCATATTGTAAATAAATATGTTTGTAAAAACTTAAGAAAAAAATGGGTAAAATGATTTGTTTGTAACAAAGAAATACCAACAAACAAATTCTTGTTTGTAACAAGAATACCACACTTACCCTATCAACAGAGCATGACCATATTGATTATTTATTTATTTATTTTTTTTTTTGGGACAGAGAGAGACAGAGCATGAACGGGGGAGGGGCAGAGAGAGAGGGAGACACAGAATAGGAAACAGGCTCCAGGCTCTGAGCCATCAGCCCAGAGCCCGACGCGGGGCTCGAACTCACGGACCGCGAGATCGTGACCTGGCTGAAGTCGGACGCTTAACCGAATGCGCCACCCAGGCGCCCCACCATATTGATTATTAAACAAAAACAAAAAAAACCTCAATCTTCAAAGAGCTGCCTATCTCAGGATTTCAGAAATCGCCTCTAGCACAGAATGTCAAGGAGTTCTAAGTAAACATACTAAATGGGTGACAGAGGTTGAGGGATTCCAGAGAGAAATAAGACCCCTTTCTCATATTAGTTGTATTCATATACTCATATCACGTATTTTAATTTCTTAAAAATGTTATTTATTTTCAGAAGGAGGGGGAGGGAGAGAATGCATGCGTGAACTAGCAGTGGAGGGGCAGAAAGACTGGGAGAGAAAGAGAGTAAGAAGCCCAATTCACAAACCATGAGATCGTGACCTGAGCTGAAATCAAGAGACCTCTTATCATGTATTTTAAAAGGAAACACAGAACTGGGCAGTGACACCATATCCTGAGGATAACCTGTGGCCTAAAATGTACATGGGTATAAAAATTCAAAATTTTTTTTTGGCAAAACTTATAAACAGCCAACGTACATAGTAAATTTTATTAACATGATCATTAAACATTTCTGCTCATGAGGCACCTGGGAGGCTCAGTCGATTAACCAGCCAACTTTGGCTCAGGTCATGATCTCGTGGTTCATGGGTTCGAGCCCCGCATTGGGCTCTGTGTGGACAGCTCAGAGCCTGGAGCCTGCTTTGGATTCTGCGTCTCCTTCTCTCTCTGCCCTCCCCTGCTTGCACTCTGTCTCTAAAATAATAAATAAACATTAAAAAAAATTTTTTTTAACATTTCTCCTCAAAAGGCTTTAATCAGTAAAACTGAGCAAGCATCTCAATCAGTTGATAAAATTTAATATTTTGCAAATGAGACTAAACTAAAAACAACCTTTATAATGACTGGCTCCTCACAGCTATTTGTTTTTAACTATTTATTTATTTTTGAGAATCAGTGTGATTATTTTCTACTAATTGTAGATTATGCTTTGGATGAACCCGCTTACTGTCAGTACACTACTAATTAATATTCAACTATCTTTAGCATAACTTTATTTTATTTTTTATTTTAAAAATGTTTATTTATTTTGAGAGAGCATGTGCACCTGTGAGTGGGGGAGGGGCAGAGAGAGAGGGGGAGAGAGAATCCCAAGCAGGGATAGATCCCATGACTTGAGCTGAAATCAAGAGTTGGACGCTAAACCGATGGGGCCATCCAGGTGCACTCAGCATAACTTTATTTTATGTAAGTACTGTATATCAAAATGTTTTTAAATTTTGAAATAAGCTTCTAAATTGTGAATTCTGATTATAATGAAGATCTTAACCCTATGTTACAAATCAGATGATTAATCTAAATTATCTTTCATTAAGCTAGAATTATTAGTGCACAAGAAATGAAACTTTAAACATTCCATATATATTCATATAGTAAGTCGCTAATCTATGAAAAGGTAGTTTTATGGCGTGATATTTGGGATTTCTTCTATGTTGATATGTGATTTTTAATAGACTATTTTTAGAGCAGTTCAGATTCACAGAAAAATTGAGAAGTCAGAGATTTCTGCTATGCTTCTTGACCCCATAATATGCAAAGCCCTCCCCTATTTTCAACATCCCTCACTGTAGTTATACACTTGTTAATACTGAGGAACCTATAATGACACAACCTTATCACTCAAAGTCCATAGCTTACATTAGAGTTCACTCTTGGTGCTGTTCATTTTGTGAGTTTGGACACATTTATAATGATATGTATTCACTACAGAGTAGGTACAGTGTCCTAAAAATCCTCTCTGCTTCACCTATGCCTATTTATCCCTCTCTTCTCCTTAACTCCTGATAACCGTCAGTCTTTTTACCCCATAGTTTTGCCTTTCCAAGAATGCCATACGGCTGGAATCAAACAATATGTAGCCTTTACAGACTAGCTTCTTTCACTTAATAATATGTGTTTACGTTTCCTCCACGGTTTTTTTCATGGCTTGATAGCTCATTTCTTTTTAGTGCTAAATAACTGTCTGAATGTACCACAGTTTATCCATTCACCTAACTAAAGGACATCTTGGTTGCTTCCAAATTTTGGCAACTGTGAAAAAAGCTGCTATAAACATCCATGTTGAGTTTTTTTGTGTGGACATAAGTTTTCAGCTCCTTTGGATAAATACAGAAGAGTGTAATTGTTGGACAATATGTTAAGAGTATATTTAATTTTGTAAGAAACCATCAAACTGCCTTCAAAAGTGGCCATACCATTTTGAATTACCACCAGCAATGAATGAGAATTCCTGTTGCTCCACATTTTCCCCAGAGGTTGGTGGTATCAGGGTTCTGGATTTTGGTCATTCTAACAGGCATATCTGGCACATACTTGATGTAATGAATGGCACCTCATTATTACTTTAATTTGCATTTCCATGGTGACATATGATGTGTAGCACCTTTCTGTATGTTTATATGCCATCTGTATATGTTCTTTGGTGACGTGTCTGTCAAGGTCTTTGGTCCAGTTTTTAATTGAGCTGATTTCTTACTGTTGAGTTTTAAGAGTTCTTCATATATTCTGGATAACAGTCTTTTGTCAGTTATGTCTTTTGCAAATATTTTCTCCTAATCTGTGGTTTGAATTTTCATTCTCTTGACTATCTTTCACAGAGCAACTTTTCATTTTAATGAAGTCCAACTTACCAATTGTTTCTTTCATCAATCGTGCCTTTGATATTATATCCAAAAATTCATTACGAAACTCAAGATCATCCAGGTTTTCTTCTATGTTATCTTCTAGGAATTTTATAGTTTTGCATTTTACATTTAGGGTTGTGACCCATTAAAAAAAACTTTTTAATGTTTATTAATTTTTGAGAGACAGAGAGGCAGAGCATTAGCAGGGGAGAGACAGACAGGGAGGAAGACAAAGAATCTGAAGCAGGCTCCAGGCTTTGAACTGTGGGGCTCAGACTCATGAGCCATGAGACGAACTGAGCCGAAGTCAGACACTTAACTGACTGGGCCACCCAGGTGCCCCAGGAATGTGACCTATTTTGAATTAATTTTTGTGGAGGGTGTGTCTGGATTCATTCTTTTACATGTGAATGTCTAATTGTCCTAGCACCATTTGCTAAAAAGACTTATCTTTGCTCCACTGTCTTGCCTTTGCTTCTTTGTCAATGATCAGCTGACTGTATTTATGTGGGTCTATATTTTACTCCATTCGAGGTTGTTTTATTTCATTTTTTTTATTTCATTGATCTGCTTGTCTATTCTTTCACCAAGATCACACTATCTTGATTATTATAGCTTTAGAGTGAGTCTTGAAATCTGGTAGTATTAGTCCTCTGACTTTCTTCTTCTCCTTCAGTGTTGTGTTGGCTATTCTGGGTCTTTTGTCTCTCCAGATATACTTTACAGTCAGTTTGTCAATATCCACAAAATAACTTACTGAGATTTTGACTGGGATTGCACTCAATCTATGGATCAGGCTGTGAAGAACTGACATTTTGACTGAGTCTTCCTATCCATGAACATGGACTATCTCTTCATTTATCTACTTCTAGTTTGATATCTGTCATCAGTTTTCCTCACACAGACTTTGTATATTTTGTTAGATATATATCTAAGTAATTTTTTTTACATGCTAAGGTAAATGCCACTGTGTTTTTAGTTTAAAATTCCACTTGTTAATTGCTGATATGTGGGAATACAATGGACTTTTGTATATTAACTCTATATCCTGCAACCTTACTATGCTATGATTGCTTCTTTCTTTTTGGTTGAATTTTTTGGGGTTTTACTTTTATTTTTTATTTTAGAAAGACAGCACACAAGCAGGGAAGAAGGACAGAGGAAGAGAGAGAGAGAGAGAGAGAGAGAGAGAGAGAGAGGGGGATTGATTTATTTTTAGGCAGGCTCCATGCTCAATGTGGAGCTTGACGTGGGGCTCAATCCCATGACCCTGGGATCATGACCTGAGCCAAAATCGAGTCAGATGTTCAACTGACTGAACAACCCAGGACCCCCCCACCCCCACCACTTTTTTTTTGTTTTCTACATAGATAATCATATCAAATTTCTTCCTTCCCAATCTATGTAACTTTTATTTCCATTTTTAGTCAAATGGCATTAGCTAGTACTTCCAGGATGATGTTGAAAAGTAATGGTAAGAGGTCACATCACTGCCTTGTTCCTGATCTTAGTGGGAAAGCTTCTAGTTTCACAGCTGTAGGCTTTTTGTAGATATTCTTTATCAAGTTGAGGAAGTTCCCCTCTGTTACTAGTTTACTGCAAGTTTTTATCATGAATGGGGATTGGATTTTGTCAAAGCTTTTTCTATAGCTGCTTATATGATACCCATGTGATTTTTAATGTAGACATTAGTAACAAGGTTGGATCACACTTCTGAATCTGGTGAACGGCATATAAATAATGGTATGTTATATACTATGCATCTCTCTCTACCCAATTCACCATTTCACTGCCCAATGATGACAAAAAAAAAATATTTGGTTAACCTCAAACAACAAAGTTAAAATTAGAAAAGTTGAACCTTTCTAGAAAAATATACTAATTCTATTAAAAATTCACAGTAATACTAAAGCGAGTATTTAAAATTACTATTATTAAAAAGCCTTCATGAATATTTACTATTAATCACCACCAACATTCCTACCTTTTGGGCACAATATGACCAAATGATAACTAGATATTTTTTCAAGTACTCATGGAGTATTTCCAAAATTATACCCTATAGTGTACCATAAAGAAAATCACAATAAATGTTAAGAATCAATATCATATAGACTATAATCTATGGCCTCTATTTAACTAGATTAGAAACCAATAATAAAAAGATATCTAAATACCTATGCACATGGAGATTCAAAATTAGACTTCTAAAAAATTCACATATCCAAAAAAGATCATATTGAATTTTTCATTTTACTTGTATAAAATTTGGGCATTTATAACCAGTCTTTTTACTATTTGCTGTAGATTAAAGTTCATTTTATTTATTTATTTATTTATTTATTTATTTATTTATTTAGAGATCAGGGGAGGGGAAGAGAGAGAGGAGAGAAAGAATCTTAACCAGGCTCCTCAGCACTGTGAACCTAGAGTCCAAAGCAGGGCTTGATCCCCTGAACTGCAGGATCATGACCTGAGTCAATATCAAGAGTTGGATGCTTAACCAACTGAGCCACCCAGGCGCCCCACTATCTACTGTAGGTTAAAAATAATCTCTCCTATTTGGCAGAATTAAAACCTTGAGTTTTCTTAAGAGAAACTGTAGGAGAAATAAAAGCTGTGTTGCTCTCCAAAGGGAGACATGTGGGTAGAGAGAGACTGGTTCTGGCCTTTTCTTAAACCTATCAAAAAAAATCTGCACACTAACTTAAAATACAGGTTTTTTTTTCCTTCCTGCAAGCATAACTTAGTTTGGGGTTAGCTAAAGTATGCTTAACCTCCCTCCTTGACTTCATGTTTATGGTCCAGCTGATAAAATTGGTATTTAAGAATATAAATCAATAGCCAACATCAGGTTATTATGTCTCAAACTATAGTGTGAGTTTCTGAGTTACCTGACAAAATCTGCTTTTTATTTTATTTATTTATTTAAAAAAAATTTTTTTTTTCAACATTTATTTATTTTTGGGACAGAGAGAGCCAGAGCATGAACGGGGGAGGGGCAGAGAGAGAGGGAGACACAGAATCGGAAACAGGCTCCAGGCTCCGAGCCATCAGCCCAGAGCCCGACGCGGGCTCGAACTCACGGACCACGAGATCGTGACCTGGCTGAAGTCAGTCGCTTAACCGACTGCGCCACCCAGGCGCCCCAAAATCTGCTTTTTAAAGTAGTTGAACATGTCCTCCTTCAAACATATTTCTCAATGTTTGATATTTCAAACACTTTTCAGTTATTCAGGACAGTTCCCCATGGAATCAACATGACATCACATAATATTTAATATCTTTAGAAAAATCCACTTAGCTATGTAGTATAATTGTTTCACTATAAATCCTAAGAAATATAATTTTTGGCTCGAAATTGAGTTTACACAGCTCTGGTTGTGTAAACAGATAAGAATTATTTTTAAAAGCCCTGCAGATCTTATCCAACACACATTCATTCCTTTGGGAAAACAGAAAGAGATAATGTTCTTGTCCTTCCAGAGTTTACAAGCCATTAAATGATCCTGAACTGGGGAAAGACTTTCTTCTAGCTACGAATCTACTCAAAGCTAAACCAGTCCCTGTAAGACAACAAGCAAAATAGCAAGGTAATAGAAGAAGTAGTAAAACTTGAAAACAACAATTAATTAGACATGACTATTTGGCCACACTGCATCCCATTAGTTTTACTTAATGTTCCTACATCCTTAACACAAATGACATTAAACAAAAAGTAACACTGGTTTCTAGTCTATTACTCTCAGGACCTGTACACAAAGACTAAAGTCTCAAGATGTACATTACAGAGTTTGTAGAATGTGGAAAAAGATCTGTTCTTTCCTTCAGAATTGTTTAAATATTAGTCAATAAGTATTTATTAAAATACATACTGGGAAAACACTGTGCTAGGCAATGAAGATAAAAGAAGGCATAAGACTTTTCTCCTTCAAGGTGTTTATAATATAATTGGAAAGATAAGATTTGTATAAAGTAAGAGAAAAGGAGAGTGAGGGAAGGAGATGGGAGATGGAAAGAGAACTAACATAATGTAACATATTTATTACAAGACATAAGTTGTTGCTAAGTTTTGTAGGCAGCATTAAAAGTGAGGTAGAGATTCAGAAAGGATTAGAGTTTGTGAAGTGGAAAATATCTTCCCAATCTCTAAAAATTCTTGTACTTTCATTCCCCTATAAGCAAGGTTATTAAATTCCATTTCATCATATCTTAATGTTAAATTTACATATTTAATCTCACCTCTATCGAAACAAGTATTTTTTTTCCTTTCTCCTCTTTGCCTATTTATCCTTCAGTACTCTATCTCTTTTGGGAAGCTTGTCTTTCTTCTATCCCACTGATATATATACTTTCTCTTACTTTCTACTTAATCTCCCAGATGAAACTAGCATGTGTTAGCAGCTGCAGATGGGTGCTTCATAGCATGCTGTGCATTGTCAAAAAAAAAAGTAATAGTAAAATGTGATAAATGCCATCCATCTGTCCTCCTAGACCACAGGCTCCAAGATTACAGTTAACATGTTTATCTTGATTTTTAATCTTTTCCTAGAATCTAGCATAGTTCCTGGCTTAGTATCTTCTGAATGAACAAGAATGTGCATTACAAGACACATTAAAATGTATCCTGGCTTTAAAATAAGCAATATTCAGGGTCGCCTGGGTGGCTCAGTTGGTTAAGCTTCCAACTCTTGGTTTTGGCTCAGACCACGATCTCATGGTTCGTGAGATGAAGCCCCATATCATGCTTTGTGCTGACAGCATGGAGTATGCTTGGGATGTTCTCCCTATCTTTCTCTCTCTACCCCTCCCCTGCTCTCTCTCTCACCCTCACTTTCAAGGTGAGTAAATAAACATTAAAAAAATAAGAAAAATAAAATAGATAATATTCAGAAGAATATAGTCTTCTAACCTACCATTTGAAGGGCTGAAAGTTCTTCTGTTAGTCGAGAAATCTGTACATTATACTGTTTTCTTGTGCTTGCAACCTGTAATTAAGACATTCATAAATTGTTTAGATTCACAAAAATTGATTAATACCCAATAAAAATATTTAGGATAATTTTGAGAAAAAAATAAAACTTTTATGGCATAAAAAATAAATAACCACCTGAGTATTAAAGAGTCAAGAATTATTTAAAAAAATTTTTAATGTTTATTTTTGAGAGAGAGAGAGAGAGAGAGAGAGAGAGAGAGAGACAGAGTGTGGCTGGGGGAGGGGCGGAGAAAGAGGGAGACAGAATCTGAAGCAGGCTCCAGGCTCTAGGCTGTCAGCAGAGAGCCCGATGGGGAGCTGCGAGATCATGACCTGAGCTAAAGTCAGACACTTAACTGACTGAGCCACCTAGGTGCCCCTAAAGGGTCAAGAATTTATCACAACAGTGGAAGGAGAGTGAATTTCTATGAAAACTTACCATATTTGAAGTGAAAACTGGCAACATTTCAAAATATTTACTTATTAATCCCCTTATAGGTATTAAGTCATTATAGGTTAACATAAATAACATTTTATGAAAAATAAGTTCATTTTCCAAAATAAAAAATTTTCTAGAAAAATGTTATTATTTTACATTTTTGTAAATTTCCTTAATGTTTGAACAGGGGACAGTCAGATTCACATTATCTACTTCTGTGTTCAACCTGTTGTGTTGCTTACCATCAGCCTCTGGAAAACACCACTGTACACTCATCAGAGAACGAGTATGAAAAAAGAAAACAGTAAACTATAATTATGAAAGTAGGTGTGACCTTCCAGATTCTCTGAACAACACTTTAAGAACTGGTGCCATAGAGCAAGTCAAGAGAAAAACTGAATTGCACACTAAAAACGTAACTCGTAACTTTTAAGGCACTTTTGTTTTATAAGAAGAAAAATATTTTCATATTGCATATATTTCAGTATAAAGTAAATTACTTTGTGAGAAAAACTCTTATTTCAATTAACATTTAAAATACTTCAGAAACAGTATGACTTATGTGTACAAAATATTTTGAAGAATTAGTTACATCTCATCAAGATGACTCCTATGACAGTATATTTTTCTAATTAATAACTACTCATACTTTTTAAAAAGACCATGAAGGAAGGAGGAATTAAGATGGCAGAGCATCATGGAGATCCTGAGCTTGTCTTGTCCTTGAAACACAGCTAGAACAGCACCAAACTATTTTGAACGCCTAGGAAATTGTTTGGATGATTAATGCAACAATCTGCATAACTTGAGTTTGTCCTTAACCTATAAGGGAAGATAGGTCAGGGTTGCAATAAACCTATATACAAGAAATTTTGCAGGCCAAAAAGGAGTGATATATTCAATGTGCTGAATTGGAAAATTATGCAGCCAAGAAATCTTTATCCAGAAAGGCTGTCATTCAAAATAAAAGGAGAGATAAAGAGTTTCCAAGACAAACAAAAACTAAAGGAGTACGTGACCACTAAAGCATCCCCGCAAGAAATTTTAAGAGGGACTCTGAGTGGACAAAAGAGAAAACAAAACAAAACAAAGATCAAAGCAACAAAGACTAGAAGCACCAGGGAACATTACCATAAACAACTCTATAGGGAACACAAGGGCACTAAATTCATATGTTTCAGTACTCACTCTAAATGTCAATGGACTAAATGCTCCAATCAAAAGACATAGGGTATCAGAATGGATAAGAAAACAAAAGACACATTTATATGCTGCTTACAAGAGACTCATTTTAGACCTAAAGACACCTACAGATAGAAAGTAAGGGGATGGAGAACAATCTATCATGCTACTGGTTGTCAAATGAAAGCTGGAGTAGCCATACTTATATCAGACAATCTAGACTTTAAAATAAAGCCTGTATCAAGAGATGAAGGAGGGCATTATATCATAATTAAGGGGTCTATCCATCAAGAATATCTAGCAATTGTAAACATTTATGCTCCAAGTGTGAAAGCACCCAAATATGCAGAAAATCAACAAGGAAACAATGGCTTTGAATGACACACTGGACTGGATGGTTTAACAGATACATTTAGGGCATTTCATCCTAAAGCAGCAGAATACACATTCTTCTTGAGTGCACATGGAACATTCTCCAGACTAGATCACATACTGGAACACAAATCAGCCCTCAACAAGTACAAAAAGATCAGGATCATACCTTTCATATTTTCAGACCACGAGTTTGCTATGAAACTCGAAATCAACCACAAGAATAAATCTGCAATAACCATGAACACTTGGAGATTAAAGAACATCTTACTACAGAATGAATGGGTTAACCAAGAAATAAAAGAGGAAATTAAGAAGTACACAGAAGCCAATGAAAATGAAAACATGACAGCCCAAAACCTCTGGTATGCAGCAAAGGTGGTCATAAGAGGGAAGTACATAGCAATCCAGGCTCTCCTAAAGAAGGAAGAAAGGTCTCAAATACACAACTTAACTTTACACCTTAAAGACCGGGAAAAAGAACAAATAAAGCCCAAAACCAGCAAAAGAAAGGAAATAATAAAGATTAGAGCAGAAATCAATGATATAGATTGAATCAAAGAAACAACAGATCAACAGAACCAGGAGTTGGTTGTTTGAAAGAATTAAGAAAATTGATAAACTTCTAGCCAGATGGATCAAAATGAAAAAGGAGAGGAGAATGAATAAGGAGAATGAAAGAGGAGAGATCATCACACCAGAGAAATACAAACTATAATAAGAGAATATTATGAGCAATTATATGCCAACAAACTGGTCAATCTGGAAGAAATGGAAAATTTGAATAGACCCACAACCAGTAAAGAAATTAAATCAGTAATCAAAAATCTCCCCAAAAACAAGAGTCCAGGGCTGGAAGGCTTTCCAGGGGAATTCTACCAAACATTTAAAGAAAAGTTAACACCTATCCCTTAAACCTGTTCCAAAAAATAGAAATGGAAAGAAAACTTTCAAACTCATTCTACAAGGCCAGCATTACCTTGAATCCAAAACCAGACAAAGACCCCCTACTAAAAAGGAGAACTACATACCAATTCCTTTGATGAACATGGATGCAAAAATTCTCAACAAGATACTAGCAAACCGGATCCAACAATACATTAAAAGATTTATTCACCACAATCAAGTGGGATTTGTTCCTGTGATCCAGAGCTGGTTCAATATCCATAAATCAATTAATGTGATACATCACATAAATTTAAAAAAGGGTAAGAACCACATGATCCTCTCAATAGATGCAGAGAAAGAATTTGACAACATACAGTATCCTTTCTTGATAGCTGTTAAGAAAGTAGGGATAGAAGGAACATACCTCAAGATCATAAAGACCAGATATGAAAGACTGACTGCTAATATCATCCTCAATAGAGAAAAACTGACAGCTTTCCCTCTAAGGTCAGGAACGCGACAAGGAGGCCCAATCTCTCCACTACACTGTTATTCAAAATAGTGTTGGAAGTCTGAACCTCGGCAATCAGACAAAAAAAAAGAAATAAAAGGCATCTACATCAGCAAGGAGGAAGTCACACTTTCACTCTTCGCAGACGACGTGATATTTTATGTGGAAAACCTGAAAGACTCCATCAAAAAACTGCTAGAACTGATCCAGGAATTCAGCAAAGTAGCATAATATAAATTCAATGTACAGGAATCACATTTCTATACACCAATAATGAAGCAACAGAAAGAGATAACAGGGAATTGATCCCATTTACAATTGCATGAAAAACCATAAATATCTAGGAATAAACTTAATCAAAGAGGTGAAAAATCTATACACTGAAAACTATAGAAAGGTTATGAAAGAAATGGAAGAAGACACAGAACAGTGGAAAAACATTCCATGCTCGTGGACTGGAAGAACAAATATTGTTAAAATGTCGACACTACCCAAAGCAATCTACACATTCAATACAACCCCTATCAAAGTAACACCAGCATTCTTCACAGAGCTGGAACAAACAGTCTAAAATTTGTATGGTACCAGAAAAGACCCTGAATTGCCAAAGTAATTTTGAAAAAGGAAACCAAAGCTGGAGGCATCACATTTCCAGACTTTAAGCTGTATTACAAAGTTATAATCATCAAGACAGTATGGTACTGGCACAAAAACAGACACATAGATCAATGGAACAGAACCCAGAACCCAGAAATGGACCCACAAACGTATGGGCAACCAATCTTTGACAAAGCAAGAAAGAATATCCAATGGAAAATAGACCATCTTTTCTGAACAGTGTTGGGAAAACTGGACAGCCAAATGCAGAACAATGAATCTGGACCACTTTCTTACACCATACACAAAATAACCTCAAATTGGATGAAAGAATTAAACATAAGACAGGAAGCCATCAAAATCCTAGAGGAGAAAACAGGTAACAACCTCTTTGACCTCAGCTGTAGCAACTTCTCACTGGTCTCCAGAGGCAGGGGAAACTAAAGGAAAAATGAACTATTGGGACTTTATCCAAATAAAAAGCTTCTGCACAGCGAAGGAAACAATCAGCAAAACTAAAAGGCAACCGGCGAAATGGGAGAAGATATTTGAAACAACATATCAGATAAAGGGTTAGTATCCAAAATCTATAAATAACTTATATCAAACTCAACATCCAAAAAACTAATAATCCAGTGAAGAAATGGGCAAAAGACATGAATAGATACTTTTCCATAAGAGAGATCCAGATGGCTAACAGGCACATGAAAAGACGCTCAACATCACTCATTAGCAGGAAAACACAAATCAAAACCAAAATGAGATACCACCTCACGCTTATCAGAATGGCTAAAATTAACAACTCAGGCCACAACAGATGTTGGCAAGGATGTGGAGAAAGAGGAATCCTTTTGCACTGCTGGTGGGAATGCAAACTGGTGCATTCCCTCTGGAAAACAGAATGGAGGTTCCTCAAAAAATTAAAAATAGAACTACCCTACGACCCAGCAACGGCACTACTACATATTTATCTGAAGGATACAAAAATGCTGATTCAAAGGGGCACACGCAGCCCCTTTTTTTA